CAAGTTTCACAAGGCGGAGAAACAATATCATATAAATGAAAAAGAATGCCTGGCGATGGTTTGGGCCGTTCGGAGGTATCGACAGTACCTGGAAGATCAGCACTTCGTAATCCGGACGGACAACAGGGCCTTGGTGTGGCTGCAGAGCCACAAAGATGACCGGGAGAAGCTAACCAGATGGGCCCTCTTACTTCAAGAGTTTTCATTCCAAATTGAACACGTAGCAGGGAAGACAAACCAGTTGCCAGACTACTTGTCACGAAATGCAGCTGAGTGTCCCGAAGGTCCAGCGGTTCAATATGATGAACTGATTCCAACTCCAGAAGTCTGCGTGGTCCAAGACGAACCTTTGATCCAGGAGATCTTGAAGGGGCAACTGGTAGACCACGTCACCCAGGGTTTGGTTAGACGAATCAAGCACGCTGAACAGGAGGGACCTCAGGATGACATCGATCGCAGCCTGGTGGCCAATTTCCTAGTCTCGGCAGAAAACAACTTGTTCCAGAGGCGCCCCGATGGAACGTGCCGCGTTTACGTACCAGAGGGAATGAGGAACAAGGTGCTGGAGTACTTCCACTCCAGCGACGCAGGGGCCCATCCAGGACGGAAAGAAACCCAGCGAGCCATCGACGAGCGGTTCCATTGGGACCGGATAGGAGCAAAAATTCGACGTTACGTACAAGCTTGCCTTGTATGTAGGCAAATCAAGGGCCGGAATCTTCAAGCCGCCGCTCCGATGACTACGCACCAACCCACCAAGGCATGGCAGATGATCTCCATAGACACCCTGGGCCGGTATCGAGGGAATGGACAAGAACCTGAGTATGCAGTGATCATTGAGGACATATTGACCATCACTGCTGTTCTGGACGAACTTTTCCTGCGCTACGGGGTACCGGAGGTTATCATCGCAGACTGTGCATCGCAGTTCACGCTCACAAAATGGGAGCGTTACTGCCGAAAACTGGGCATAAGGATGGTAAATTCGGCAGCCTACCATCAGAGAGCAAATCCCGTCGAGCGGCAAGTCCAGAAAACTAAGAAGATTATCCGGGCCCTCATGAAGACGAATCCAAGGGCCAAATGGTTTGAATTACTACCCAAGGCGACCGGCATCCTGCGCGGTCGTGCGAACCGAGCTACTGGAGAGACACCGGCCAAAGCGTTTCTGGGATACGAACCGCGCCAACCAGGAGATTGGCTCATTCCAAGGGCCGATGAAATCCAGCAGTCCCGAGAAGACCACGACGATCAGCTAACCCGCAGGAAGCAGATCTTCGCACGGCAATATGTGGGCGATCCCGCCCAAATGCCCGTGCAATTCCAAGTCGGCGATCAAGTCCTGGTCAGAAACCACGAGCGAGGGGTTTTTGGGGATCCCTGGAAGGGTCCCTTCGCAGTCGCCAGGAGAATCTCGCCGGCAACCTACGAGGTACAGACAGATGGCCGAGCTGTACCAATTCATGTGGATGACATCAGGCCAGCCCCTAGTCAACATGTGCAATAGTGCCCAAAGCAGAGTAACGTGTAGTGCGAAGACAATAATCGAGTGCGCGTTTACCTGTCGAACATTTGAAAATTGTTGTTATATATTTGTTTATTGTTACTCTGAATTTTGAAAATAAACCAAGACGGTTTGTTGAAATTTCCAGGGGGGCATGTCGAAACGGGCCTCAGTCGCTGCTTGCACCTGATTGGCTACAGATCGTAGCGAATCAGAGTACGACAGAGGTCCGTTTGTCTATATAAGAAAACACAGGTGGCTTTTCAAGTCAGTCTAACTTGAGCCTCTCAAGTAGAAAGTCACCAGTCTCCCTGGCAACATAGACAAACCGTCGAATTACCATACTATCTACTGTTTTATTCATCCACCGACTGTTCCTGTCCAAGCCCTGTGAGCAGGCAAAAGCTGTTCTTTTCAGAACATAGCAAGGCGAAGACCCGGTGATATCCACCAGCGAGTAGCTGTCCAAGTCCTGAGTGTAGGCAAAATTAGTTCTTCTTAGAACTAACATCGTGAAGGAGACGTCCAGAGCCCCAGGTCACCTGTCTTCGGCAGTGGCCGTTTGGTCAGCTTCTACGGACGTCGCAGTATCCAGCGGGGCCGTTCCCTGGCCCCCATTAGGGCCGCTTCCAGGCCAGCCAGCAGGGCCGTTCCCAGGCCGACTCCGGGGCCGATCCCTGGTCCCAGCCGGGCCGCTCCCAGGCCTACCCGCAGGGCCGCTCCCAGGCCAATCAGTAGGGCCGATCCCTGGCCCAGTAGGGCCGTTCCCAGGCTATCGAAGCGACGCTACGTATGGTTCTAACCCGTTCACAAGCAAGGATGGCCGACCAGCTGAACGCAGACCCCACTACGCAGCCACACCAACTCGAAGGCGACATGGAACACTTCCATGAAGCTGAGGACAGCTTCGAGGATGAAGTAAATCCCATCGTCGACCACAACCCTGAGGGCCTGCCGTCCCCGCCATCTTCAGTCAGTACCATTGCTATCGGGAACCAACCCGGAAGTGTATCCGCCCAGTGCCGGCAAATACTACGATTTTGCCGGACCCAAGCCGTCGACTACAACAGAATCTCGATTTTGTCAAATCCAGACGGACGGAAGACTGAACGCCACGTTATCGTTAAAATTGAATAGTTCATGTACTTTTATTAATTTTAAAATTTTTCAGATTTAAATAATTTCATTTACGTTTTTTGTTTTAAGTTATAATAATGCATTTGATATAGTTTAAAAGTGCAATGTAATCATATTTAAGGTTGTTGAGCTCGATTATTAAGTTAATTGATTTTCTGCTAAATATTAGGTATCAGCAATTTTTGTATTAATATTAGCCAACTTTATGCTGTAAAATATATTAACCTCTATAAAAATAAGATAGTCATCAATTGTAGACATACACGAGTCGTTGACCAATAAAGTCACTTACGAAAGGAAAAGTTATTTTATTTCATCTATTATATAAAAAGGGTGATAAGTTAATAAAGAGTATGAAACTTTAAGACATACCGTCAAGTAACATTACATGACGATCCTGCCTAAAAAGAGTTTGTCTTCTAAAGTGAAAGTGTGGTTATATCATAAGAAAAACAAATTCCAAACATTCGGAAGTGACAGACACTGGGGTAGTAAACTCAAATTTTATAGTGGAAGAAAACGCTATTCAAGTGCCTACGGACATTAAAATTTTATTGTATATAATAGTTGTAGCTTTATTATTGTTAGTGGGATTAAAATTAAGAAAATCTTACCGCAGAGAACTTAAAAGAGACTTGTCTAGAAGTATGGCAACTCAAAGAACTCAAGGTGATATTATTTAAATGTATAGTTAGTTATATACATAAGTAAAAAGTAAAGACATAAGTGACCAGCAACAGCAACCCTAGACGTCAACAATTGTGGTGAATTAAAGAAAAAAATGTGTGAGTGTGTTAAAAGTTTTGTGAGAGGGCTCTAAAAATTGTTAAAACCTGCGTATTGCCATGGACACCATCTCACCAATGGAACGGATGGGATGACCACCACCAGAATTACCCCCTTTCGTCACCTTTATGAAGAAGTAAACGTTTTTTATAGAAATTTATTAAAAGACAATATCTTCGATGCATCGGTCGCTCAGTTCTTTCAAGCGTCACAACTTTTGAATAGAGATCAATTAAGATTCTATTGAAATGATAGAGTAAGCAGTGTTAAACTATGTCTTTATTAATAATTTGTTGGGTTTTTATGTCCAGCAAATTTAAACAATTTATAAAACATATCATATTATTTGATGTTTTAGAACTGTCAACTTAAAACAATTCGTAATTGTATTTAAAACAAATATCAGTAGCGTACTAGACAAAACATGTGTTTTTAATTGTATTTTATTCTGTACGCTACTGACTGGAACTTTTGCTGACTAAGTAGTTTATAGCACAAGGTCGAGTTTAAGTGCGCTTATATAAGAGAGGGGACGGTGATTTGAGTGAGTCGTTCGTTCCCTCCGTAATTCGTTGCCTGCCGTCCAATCTAATTAACGTCCTTGCCCGTGGTTGTCCGTACGATGGTATTTAATATTATTTACGGTGCAATTCATGCGGCAACAGATGGTTATAAAATTTAATAGGAACGGATTATATAGGTACGAATTAAATATTAATTATATACACAGCTTGATTAAAAAAATACCTGCGTATATTTTTATATGTAATTGACTTAAAAGTTTTAAAACTAATGGAAATTAGAGCGTACTTCGATTCCATTGACCGGTCGTTTCGAACACTTCGCTTAACAAGTACATTGGTTTCGACTATAATTTATGCGACAACTCTCTTCAGTCCGAGTGAGAAATTTATAAAACGATAAATAAAATGTCGCAAATACTCTTAGAAAATATTTACGAATAATTTCAAATTAACATGTGGCTTAAAATAATAATTGGTGGTGCATGCATAAATGTCCAAAACACGTCCTTTTGGCACAACATGGGGGGTAATGCTGTTCGCGTCCGCGACATAATGTTGCACGTGCTCTCCGGGTTACGCTAAATGAACAGCAACTTTTAGTTTTAAGCCTTAATTTTAGTGAAATTGTTGCGAAAATTTAATTATTAATAATTGTTTCTATTGTTTCAGCATTGGAGCAATACTAACACAAGGAGACGATAGACGTCTATCTCACAATATTTAATTAAAGAAGTCAAGCATAGCAAGACAAATGCGTAAAACAGTATTTTCGCAGCAATATAACATTATTAATAAATAAACAGCATTAATATGCCTAAGAAACATAAAACAAGAGTAGGCGACACATTGACTAGAAGCCAACGTACAGAAAGGCAAACACGTAGTCAATTGGAACGCGAACATGAATTCGCAGAGGCAACAGCAAATGAGCAATACAAACTATTGTCCGATTATGATGCTAATGGGAATCAAGTTGTCACTACTGCTGCTACCACTAGCAAACAATCGCAATTGCTGATGATTCTAAAATAATAGATACAAATTTTATTATGGTACGAGAACGAGTATTACGAAAAGTGCCTTATCGTTTAGAACGTGACAAGCAATTAAAACAACAGCAGGCACAATCGAAACCAGTGTCTGACAATAAAGCAACAACAGCAGTAGTAGTAGTAGTAGCACCACCTGTCGAATTTCAACAGGATGTTGGTGATGGTGATGTTGATAATAATAATGCAGATGTTCCAGTTAATCAGAAACCTGAAATGGTAGAAAATATTTTATCGTTGCAGCAGCCAACGATCGAAATAGTAAAAGCAAAGCAACCGTTGCAGCAGCAAATGATCAAAATAGTAGAAGCAGAACAACCGTTGCAGCAGCAAATGATCGACTTAGTAGAAGCAGAACAAGATGAACAAGTGTTAGAAAGAACACCAGTCGAGGCGGCACCGCATCCGGCACCTCGAGGAAGGCACGCTGTTGTGCCGCATAAAGTAACTTACAATGAGGCGTACCGTCGGAATAATGTAGTTGAAAATCTGGCTAGATATGATGCTGGTCAATTAAATCAAGATTGTCAGTTTTGTGGAGCATTACATTACGAAAAAGAAAAGGCCGACAGACTGGGTCAACGAAGATTGTGTTGCAATAAAGGTGAAATTGATTTACCTCCATTAAGGTCGTGTCCTCCTTTATTACGTGCATATTTGACAAACGATAATGCTGAAGCGCGTTCGTTTAGAACTAATATACGATCCATAAATAGTTTGTTCGCTATGGCGTCTTTTAAAACGAGTATGCCACAAAATGTACAAGGCCAAGGGCATTGGTGCTTTAGTGTGTGTCAAATTTATCATTATACAGAAGCATTACCACGCACTCAAGAATTAAGGCAACCTGTACTGAACCAATATTATTTTGTGGACGCTGAACAAGCTATCGACCGCAGAGCGGATTTTTTAGCAGATCGATTAGTTTCAAGAGAAATTATTGAACGCATAGAAATGATGCTTCGAGCAGAAAATCCATTTGTAATATCGTATCAAACAATGAAAGAAGTCATTGCCGAAATGAGGGCACAAGGACACGACGTTGATGAAATGATATTAGGTTTCACCGAAGATATTGGAAGGAATCTGAGAAATTACAATCTTCCAGAAAGCAGAAGTGATATAGCGGCTGTATTTTGTGGCGGAAAGCCGCCTTTTAATGTTGACCTTAAAATTTATCCGAAAAATGTTAATGCCGACAGAGAATTGAAAAATTTAAATATAATGTCAGATCCGATGGTATACCCGATACTTTTTCCGAAAGGAGAATATGGTTATGATACGCAGTTAAAATATAGAACAAGACGAACGAAAACTATCACGATCAGAGAATTTTACCGTCACAGAATCGAAGTTAGACGAAATTAGTTTTCAATTATTCATCATGCTGATAAATTATATCAGCAATATTTAGTCGATGCATGGTGCAGAGCAGAAGAAAACATATTATGGTGGTACAAAAATAATCAACAAAAGCTAAGAGTGGCTGGAAAACAGGCGATAGAAAGAATGCTGGAGGCTAGGGCGGCCGAGAAAAATTTAAGAGTCGGCAACGTTATCATGTTGCCGTCTAATTTTATTAAAGGACCTAGATTTCAATCAAGAAAATATTTGGACGCTATGACTGTTGTGTCGGGTTTCGGCAAACCCGATTTGTTTATAACGATGACCTGTAATCCGCATTGGCCTGAAATAAGTGAAAATTTGGTAAATCGCCAGCAATTGCAGCATCTCCCAGACTTGGTAGCGAGAGTTTTTAATTGCAAACTGAACGAGTTCATTGATGATATAAATAATAAACAGATTTACAGTGTCGTTTCCTATTCCATGTATGTTATCAAATTTAAAAAGCGAGGTTTACCTCATGCTCACATATTAGTTACTTTAAGACCAGAAGATAAATTAGATACTGAAAAAAACCGAATCTTTTTGCTGTGATTGCAGCCAACTATGTGCACCGTCCGTGTGGCCGTCTCAACATAAATGCGCCCTGCATGAGAGATGGCAAATGTTCCAAAGGTTATCCTTAAAAGTATAGACGGAACACTGTATTATTAGAGGACATTTGGGGCAACCGGCATACAAGCGACCGGCCGGCGGACGAGGCACTGAAGTTAACAACGTACGCGTAGATAATAGAAGGGTCATTCCTTACAATCGATATGCTACTATGAAATATCAATGTCATATAAATTTTGTGTGTGTGGATCATTAAAGTCTATAAAATATTTACATAAATACGTTTACAAAGGCCCAAATGCAACTGTACAAATGCAAAATAATGACGGCATTGTTCATTGGGACGAAATTCGACAATTTATTGATTGTAGATACATAAGCGCCATGGAAGCTTGCTGGCGGCTTTTTGAATTTAAACTTGGCGATCGCACCCATGCAGTGATGGCTTTACCTGTACACATGCCGGATGAAATATCAATGTCATATAAATTTTGAAGTGTGTGGATCATTAAAGTCTATAAAATATTTACATAAATACGTTTACAAAGGCCCAAATGCAACTGTACAAATGCAAAATAATGACGGCATTGTTAATTGGGACGAAATTCGACAATTTATTGATTGTAGATACATAAGCGCCATGGAAGCTTGCTGGCGGCTTTTTGAATTTAAACTTGGCGATCGCACCCATGCAGTGATGGCTTTACCTGTACACATGCCGGACTACCATCCGATAAATTTTGACGAATTCGATAATGTCGATAAAATAATAGAAGCTCTAGATAAACCCACCAAGTTAACTGCCTATTACATTTTAAATTCCAATCACATGGAAGCGAGGCAATATAGATTTTATGAAATACTAGAGCATTTTACGTGGGAAACTAGACAGCATATTTGGCGTCCGAGAGTACAGGTGACAAAGATGTTTGGGTGCATGGTCGAGGTGTCGCCGTTAGATTTGGAAAAATGTTGTTTACGTTTGTTATTGTCGCACGTGTCGGGAGCCACGTCATTTGAAAGTTTAAGAACAGTTGACGATGTCGAATATGAGAGTTTTGAGGCTGCCTGTCGAGCTAGAAATTTTTTACATAATATAGACGAATATGATCGCTGTTTGCGACAAGCTTTATGGTTTCGCATGCATTGATATGTTGTGTGGCAGCGGCGTTGTCGGACAAATTTCGGAACTTTGGGAAAGGCATAGAGCAGATTTGATAGAAGATTTTTCGCAGCAGTATCAAGGAAACGATATGTTTGCAGAAACAAGAGCATTGATGGGAATCGCAGATGTTTTAAGGAGAAATGGCAATTTTACTCTCGCCCAATTTGGCTTGCCTGCTGTTAACCAAGATTTAGTAGACTTTTATGAATTACCGTTAGTTACCATTAAAGACTACAATAGCAGACAAAGAACTAATAATAAAACTCTTACAAGACAATTCTTTAAATAAAATTGGAAGCAACGTTGCCGGATCATCCAAATATAGCGATATAATTAAAAATAGTGAAAACCCGAAAAATGAAAAAAGTGCCAACAACGAAAATAAGAAAAAACATCAACCCGAAGAAAAAACAAACAAAATAACAGGAAGCAAAGTAAGCACCACAACTTTATTTACTTCCGCTACTAAAAAAGCTCAAATTCATTTGGGAAAAGTATCTCTTAATACTGAAATAACGAAAATCAAAAGCTATATAGAAGAAAAATTTAAAATTGAAGACTTTAATGTAACAGCATGTCCAAAGCGCGAAAACGCCAAAAGTGTCTCCTTTAGAATTGAAGCAGACTACTCAATAATTGACGAACTATACAAAAGTGAAAATTGGCCCCAGGGTGTTACAATCTCAAGATATAGATTTTTTCGAGAAAAAACATCAGCCACAACAGCAAAATTTCAATGAGACAAGAAATAAGTATTTTACCCTTATGCATAAAAACTGCCAATGCCTAACTAACAAACAAGAGGAAATGGAAATATTTCTTGAAGAAAATGAATGTGATTTACTTTGTGTTTCTGAACATTGGTTCCTAAATGACGACATTAATTCTGGTCTAAGAATAAATGGATATAAATTAATTGAACACTACAGTAGACAAACCCATATCCATGGTGGAGTAGCAATTTTAATAAAAAACAACTTTAATTGTGAAATAGAATCAATCCTGTCAATCAAAAATCTTTCAATTGAACTCCATTTTGAATGTATTGCAGTTAGTATTGTAACCACAACAGAAAAATATTTAGTTCTTACTGTTTACCGCAGCGGTGCAACGGGTGACACAAATATTTTTCTTGAAAAATTAAATGAGGCTCTATATATTGCTAGTAAGTACAAAAACCACAAAGTTATCTTAGCGGGGGATTTTAACATAAATTTTCTTATTTGTACAAATCAACTAAATGAATTCAAAGAGCTGTTAACGTCATATTATCTTAAACCAACAATAAAAACACCTACAAGAGGTAAACATTGTTTGGATAACATTTGTATTGAAATCGATAATGTCAATTATTTTAGCGAAGTAATAAAAAGTGGTTGGTCGGATCATGCAGCACAAAAAATTAAAATTATTACACACAATAATAAAATAACAAAAAACGTAAACAAACAAATAATTTATAGGGAAATAAAAAACAATCAAAGTATACAAGTATTTAAATCAGAAATAGGAAAGGAAAATTGGAATGAATTTAAACAAATAAATAGTATTAATGAACAGTATAATTATTTTATTAATATAGTAAATTACCATTTTGAAACAATTTTTCCTGAAAAAAGAAAAAGTAAAAAAAGCTTTGTGTCAGGAAATAGGTGGATAACTAAAGGTATTAAAGAATCTTCAAAAAAACTTAAAATATTGTATAAACTTCAACTTAACGGAACGCCTCTAATTAAAAAATATTACAAAAAATATCAAACAATTTATAAAAAAATAATTCGTATAGCTAAACAAAATTATAATGATACATTTTTACTTCAATCTCAAAATAAAAGTAAGGCCGCCTGGCAAATAATAGGCAAACAAAAAAGTGAGCAACCAAATAAAATCGAACTAATTATTAATGATAAACTAGAAACTAACCAGCAAAACTGTACAAATTATTTTAATAAATACTTTAATACTATTGCAGAAAGCCTAATAAACAATAATTTATCTAGACCTTGTTTTAGATCTAATATAAATATGAAAACAATGTTTTTAAAACCCGTAACAAAAGCTGAAATTTTAAGTATTATAAAAGAATTAAAACCCACTTTTTCTAGTGGTCAAGATAATATAAATTCTAATTTAATTAAGTCTTGTTCGCTTGAGCTTTTGGAACCTTTGGAGATCTTAATAAACAATTCCTTTAAAGAGGGAAAATTTCCTGAGGCTCTAAAGGTTTCAAAAATAAGACCTATCTTTAAAAAAGGAGACAGAAAAGATATTCAAAATTACCGTCCTATATCTTTGTTAAGTAGCTTCTCAAAAATAATTGAGAAAATTTATTCAATAAGATTACTAGACTTTTTAATGCAAAATAAAATAATTAATAATAATCAACATGGTTTTTTGAGAGGTCGCTCTACTTCTTCTGCAATAACAACGTTCTTGAATGACTTATATTATAACATGGATAGAGGTAATAAATGCTTAGGCATATTTGCAGATCTCAGTAAAGCTTTTGATTTGATTGATCATAACTTATTATTCAGTAAACTAAACAGGTATGGCATAAGAGGAAATGCATTTAACTGGCTTCAAAGTTATTTAATTAATAGAAAACACTTTGTAGAAATAGATCATAATAAATCTGAACTTTTAATTAGCCAAAGAGGTGTGCCACAGGGATCAACCCTTGGCCCTCTATTGTATATTGTATTTGTAACTGACCTAAATATTCCAAAAACTGTTGTATTTGCTGACGATACTTCGTTATTAACAACTAGTCCAAACTTTACTACTCTATCAATTGTAGCAAATCAAAGATTTCTAGAGTTGAATAGATATTTTAATGAAAATCAATTATTTATGAATATATCAAAAACAGTTTTTATGCAGTTTAGTTTGCAAAATAATGAGAATGAGTCTAGCCATTTGATTAAAACTAATAATAAATCATTGATAAGAGTAAATAATACAAAGTTTTTAGGAGTTGAGATCGACTCCAATCTAAAATTTACATCTCATATTAACAGCCTGTGCAACAAAATCGCACAATCATGTTATGCAATAAGAAGACTTCGAAGCATCACTAATTTAGAGATTCTAAAAATGTATTACTATGCGCATGTTCATTCTCTAATCAGATACGGAATAATAGCCTGGGGTACCTCTGTAAATATTAATAGGGTTTTTAAATTGCAGAAGAGAGTTTTAAGAACCATGTTGTTTCTGAGCAATAGTGTTAGTTGCAGGAGTTTCTTTAAAAAATTAAACATTATGACACTGCCTAGCCTATTTATATACATTACATTACTTTATGCTAAAGATAACATTTTAAACTTCAGTAAAGTCAATAGCCACCACCAATATAATACTAGGAATGCCAATTTGCTCGAAATACCACCTCACAAAACTTCAAACTATGAGAAATGTCCTAAATATATAGCAATAAAATATTTTAATCATTTACCGGATAATATAAAAAATCTTAATGCAAAAAAGTTTAAAATTAAAATTAAAAGTATACTTTTAGAAAAGGAATATTATTCAACCAATGAATATTTGTGTGACCTGGCACTGCTGTGATATTTCTAAATAATGTGATAATTTTGTTTTTTGTTTTGATATTTGTGTAATAGGTATTGTATCGTAATCTACCATATGTCTTGTAAATTTATTTAATTATGTACCCAGTATTGACGTATTCCATACAATGTATTTTGTCGCAGGAATAAAGAGATTATTATTATTATTATTATTATTATTATTAATCACGAGGAAGATGTGTTTGCAGATTTTGCTGGCGATGAACAATCTTTGAATGAAGAGAAGCGTGAGATATTTCATTTAGTAATGTCTGCTATTAAAGATAATAACATCGATGTGCCCGATGATTTTATAAATATGTTTTATGTCGATGCTTCCGGTGGTACCGGAAAGACGTTTCTTTTCAATACTTTATTAAAAACCTTAAGAATAAGACGATTCGATACAGTTACCATTGCATGGACAGGGATCGCTGCTTCTCTTTTGCTGGCAGGAAAGACGGCGCACAAAGCGTTTAGGCTACCGTTGAACACTGAGAATACAGGCCGATGCGGATTTCCAATAGAATCGGAAAGATCCAATTACATTAAAAATGCAAAGTTAATTGTGTGGGATGAGGCGCCCATGTCACCCAAATATGCCATTAGTTTGGTTAATAATTATTTACGTGCTATAATGCAAAAACCAAGACGACCGATGGGTGGAAAAATTGTAATTTTTGGAAGCGATTTTCGTCAAATTTTGCCTGTAGTTTCGCACGGACATCGAACACAAATAGTTGCCACTTCTTTTAAAGCAAGTCCGCTGTGGCCTTTGATGAGAAAATGTCAATTACATGAAAACATTCGAGCTGGACCTGACGAGAGAGAATTTAGAGGTTGGTTATTACGTTTGGGTAATAATTAACAATGCCAACGACGAAACAATTCCAAAAGATCTGATAGAAATTCCAAGATAATGTTTAATTAGCAACTTTGAACAGCTTTGTAAGACTGTATTTGGCGAAAGATTCCTACATGCCTCGTCGACAGGAGATCAAACCATATTGTGCCCCACAAATTTGTCCGTAAATGAAATTAGCGAATACGTTTTAAACAATTTACCTGGCGAAGAAAAAGTATATGTGTCTATAGAGCAATATGAAAATGTCGAAGGTGACGAACTCTATGTTAATTAAGATTATCTGCAGTCTATATCGATAGCTTCTTTGCCGCTGCATGAATTGAAATTAAAAGTGGGACCGTTTGTATGCTGTTGCGAAATCTCGATTTTAATATGGGCCAATGTAATGGAGCCAGGTGTAAAATAGTCGAGATGAAGGATCACGTTTTGTTAGTTGAAATGTTGACTGGCACGTGTAAAGGCGTACAGAATTAAAACGTTTTTAATTTCCCATTCGATTGGCGTTAGCTATGACTATTAATAAATCACAAGGACAGACATTTGGCAAGATCGGCGTTTATTTAAAGAATCCTTGCTTCTCTCATGGACAATTGTATGTGGCTTTTTCGAGAACGGGTTCTTTAAAAAATGTATCAATTTGCGTGGCAATTTTAAATTTAGAACTGGTCGCTGCTTTACTAGAAACATTGTGTACGAAACGATCGTTGAAAATCTTGAGACTGTTTCGATTGAACAATTTATTGAAGACGACCTTAATAATCAAGCTTAAGAAGGTGAACCTGAAACTGTTTTAGATTTTGACGATATTGATTTCGATGATGATTTCTTTAACCAATTAGTAATTTCCGAAGAGGAAGACGACGACGACGACGACAATGTTCCTGCTGCTGCTGCTGTTGCTGCTACTGATGCTACTGTTTACGTTGATGACGACGAACAGCTCCGGCGTATACTTATGCCCACTTTTTCTTCTCAACAATTACGACAACGTGTGTCTACCGGAGATCAAGCAGGCACTAAAGGATTGCGAATGCCAACACCTACCAAACAACCACGAGTTACCTACAGTGAATCCGACGATTCCGATTAGAGCAAGGATGATATTGTTATATTGCTTAGATTTCCCGTCAAATTTTTCTGATAAAAATTTATTTTCGATCATGTTTAACCTACTATTAAATTTATATTTTATTTGTTATAAGAATGAAAATTATTTAATTTGATTTAAATTTTATGTGTTGCTAAGATAAAAATTTAATTTTCTGTATGCTTATGTATTACATGCTTATGTTATGTATTACAAAATATATATTTTTAATTACACTGTGCAACACAAAAAATGAACTGGGATCAAATCTGAAAAAATCGAATCTAGGCAACCCCCAAAACAAATCCTTTAAGGGGTTTTACCAGTTTAGCTCGAATAATGGAGATATACATATATATATGTACAGGGTGTTTCTTTTAACTTGAGACAGCTCAATATCTCGAGAAATACGCATTTCACGGAAAAATGTCTTAAATAAAAGGTTAATGTGACTAAAGGGGACATTATTTGGTGCTACCGCTAGCCACCCCCTACCCCTCCTTAAGGGTGAAACGGGGGGTAACTTTGGAAAGTCAAATGGAATGACCCGATTTTTTTCACAGAGTTTGGTAGTACATAAAAAAATAAATAACTTTTATTTAAAACTTTTTTCAATTTATCAACGGATGGCGCTGTAATTCAAAATTTAAGAAAAATGAGTTTCCTTGTAAAATGTATTATTTGAAACGTTTAAAAAACAAAAATTAACATTAACAACAATAGTCGGCTATGAAAACAATTTATAACAAATGTTGATTTAATGTTAATTTTTATTTTTCAAACGTTTCAAATAATACATTTTACAAGGAAACCCCTTTTTCTTAAATTTTGAATTACAGCGCCATCTGTTGATAAATTGAAAAAAACTTTCAAATAAAAGTTATTCATTTTTTTATGTACTACCAAACTCTGTGAAAAAAATCGGGTCATTCCATTTGACTTTCCAAAGTTACCCCCCGTTTCACCCTTATGGAGGGGTAGGGGGTGGCTAGCGGTAGCACCAAATAATGTCCCCTTTGGTCACATTAACCTTTTATTTAAGAAATTTTTCCGTGAAATGCGTATTTCTCGAGATATTGAGCTGTCTCAAGTTAAAAGAAACACCCTGTATATCTCCATTATTCGAACTAAACTAGCAAAACCCCTTTAAAGATTAGTTTTGGGGGTTGCATAGATTCGATTTTTCCACATTTCATCCCAGTTCAAATTGTAAGGTCAAAATTTGTCGCACAGTGTTATGTATCTTAAATAATGTTGTAAAATAAATTAAAATTTTAGTCACCACACCTTTATTTACATCAAAATTATAATTTTTTTACAAGTTCCTTCAGTCATCACACCTTTATTTCCATCAAAATTTTAATTTTTATACAAGTTCCTTCAGTTGCCACATCTTTATTTCCGCCAAAATTATAATTTTCTCGCAAGTTCCTTCAGTCACCATACCTTTATTTCCAACAAAATTATAAGTTCCTTCGGTCACCACACCTTTATTTCCATCGAAACTGAAATTTTCTTACAAGTTCCTTCAGTGGCCACACCTTAATTTTCATCAAAATTTTAAATTTTCTACAAGTTCCTTCAGTAACCACACCTTTATTTAATTGGATTGCTTATATAGCGTTGATATCATGCGGGCGTGTTAGATAAGATACACGCAATTGGTCGGAAGGGGGTCAATGGGACAGTGGGGCGCCAATGGGGCGGAAGGGGGCCAAGCACAGTCGAGCATGCGCGAAGCGCAAAGCTCCGACTGGTTCACCCGCCAATAATTATTATAATAAAAGTGAGCTGGGTTCAGACCGTAGCAAAGTGGTCCAAAATCGAAAAAAATCTGGCCAAAAGCCGAAAAATTGAATGAATAAGTGTGATGTTTTGTGTATGTATGTATGGTGTGTATGGTATGGTGTGTGTGTGTATGTATGGTAAGGGGACCTACTCTAAGTATTAAACTACAGGAAAAATTAGGTAGCTTCGGTACTCGCATCTGTAGGTCAGTTCCAATTCAGCTCTGCCAGAGTAAGTATTTCGACGCGCCATATGTGTTAAAATAATTCCAAGAGTAATTCACTACAAACAAATTATCTAGGTGCCATTTTCCATATCGGTTTGATGGAGGGAGACCCTAAAGGTATGTAAAATATTCTCACACTTGTAAATCCTAAATTATGATATTTTACGAGATATAAAAAGACAATGAATAAGCAACTGTATAATATGAACATTTATCGATTGGTCCTATAAAAAGCATTGAAATAGTTATCATCCCACGAGATCCCACGCTGCTGTAAAATTTCAAGTTGAAATATTAATATAACAAATATAAATCGTCAAAAATTTCTTGCGACTAGCTGCGACTTTGGCTGGAGCATAACATTTTGTAGAGGCGAGCGCGTTTTTCTTTTGATACATAACATAGGCTGGCTACTTTCTGGAAAACCGAGAAATATCAGGGAATTTATTTTATCAGGGAATAATTAATTAAATTGTTATAAAATTTAATATATTAAAAGAAATCTTTTGCCAAACGATTTAAATAAGTTATAGCCCTACACAGTGGTCCTCGACTAGCCATGAGTTGTATGAAAATGGCGCCAAAAAATGAGTTCGGATTTTGATAGGTATATCTTTAAGCATTGCAAAAATTCATTAAGTAAAACCGTAGCTGATCATTAACTTATTTTATGAATGTAACAATTTCTCATTTTTACATAGCCTTTAGATCCCTACAATTTTAAAAAAGTACTTTTTATTTTTACAGTGAAAAAAGGTTATTGACCAAAACAAATTCACATATACTCAATATTTGTTACAAATGTCTAGAGGAGAACTCAACAACAGCTTTCTTTAACTGGATTTGATAGCAAGGATCTTGTAACTTACAAGTTGTAAGAGATTTATTTTATATCGGTTCCAGTACTTGACAAACTCTCTATGGATAGATTCTTCTGCTTGCTCTGACCATAACCAAGTCCACCTTCTTGAAAAAACTGCAAAGATTGAGTAATATGTTCCAAAATGACGTGCAATTTAAGAGACTTTGAAAGCCCAGCTCTCTAAAAATGAATTAGTCAAAAATGACTAATTTAATATTTATTAGTGGCTTTTTCACTTGTACCATGGTTAACCATGGAATACCATGGTATCCCAAAATTTAACAGCCAATTCTTATGTAAAATTGTCCCCTGAATCCGAAAATGTCTTCAAAAGTTAAAAAAAGTAGAACAGTTTTTGAGATATAGTCAATTTTCTATTTAATATGGAATTGACTATATTTCAAAAACTGCTATACTTTCATAATTTTTGACGGTATTTTCGGATTCAGGGGACAATTTTACATAATAATTGGCATTTAAATTTTGGGATATCATGGCGATAAGTATTGCAGATGGAAATTGAAATTGGGAAATTGGGATTCTGTAATTAAAAATTTCGACGATTTTGTATTACCCATAATAATTTTCTGCCCACATGCTGTTATGCTCATGGTTGCTTACAATTTCAATAGGGTTCATTTTATCATAAAAGTAACAATAAAATCGACAAAAATTATTAGATTTGTGTTTTAAGGCAAACAGTAACTGACTAAACCTAGACCAAACCTAGGCTGACAACTGACATGTTAATCAAATATTTCAGTGCCAACTTATGAATGAACCTATATGTAAACTTTTGTGACCTCCAATTATGTGCCAATTCTTTAAATTAATTTAAAACAATGGTCAAATGTAAACATAAATAAAAGTATCACAAAAACATATTTTTATGATCAGCTTTGATTTGACTTGCAGCGTTTTTGTAACCTTGATATACATGCCTACTAATATCTGAACCTATTTTTTGGCGCCATTTTCATAAAACCCATGCCTAGTCGAGGACCACTGTGCCTATAGCAAAAAAAAAACAATTTAATTTTCAAAATACTTCTGAGAATTATCCGTGATTCTTGGAAATATTAACACGTTGACGGACATAACTGCTATAACATTAATTTTGAATTGGGGCACTAATGCCATATCAGTAGGTAATTTTAGTCTTCAAATTGACACATCTGATATAGCAGTAGCGGTTTCCATTTAGTGTTAGTTTACACCATAGTGTCCCGCGGCATATACGTTAAATTTGGGGCACTTAGACCAAAAAAAGGCGGGTTGTGATTTAGGTGGGAGGACTAAACGGCGTCATTACTGCCATAGCAGTAGTGCGTGCATTTAATTTGCACGTGTTAGTTGTTTCGCGCCCCCCAGAAGGAAAATAGGTTAGAAATATTTTTGAGTCTTTCTAAAATACTTTTTACGCGGACTTCTACAATTTGTAGTTAGATATGAATGCAAAGGAGGAGGCAAAACTCATAAAGTAGTTTGAGGAAGCTAGTGACTACAGTGGGGAAAGTAGTTCCAGTGCCGATCCTTTTGAGGACAATGATGGAGAATTCGAGGTAACAGAACCTACATATGAATGCAAAGGAGGAGGCAAAACTAGGAAGGAAAATAGGTTAGAAATATTTTTGAGTCTTTCTAAAATACTTTTTACGCGGAATTCTATAATTTGTAGTTAGATATGAATGCAAAGGAGGAGGCAAAACTCCTAAAGTAGTTTGAGGAAGCTAGTGACTACAGTGGGGAAAGTAGTTCCAGTGCCGATCCTTTTGAGGACAATGATGGAGAATTCGATGTAACAGACCTTACATTTGAACCACCGAACAGTTTTTCTAGCAGTGGCGGTTCGTCCGATGAAAATAACCAGGATACTTTACCAGAAAATGAAGGTAAGTCATTTACCTGCTTCTTCATACTAGGCCTGCTTTTTATGTTTTTGATAAATAAAAAAATAGCAAAAGTTTGTATTTATTTTCATATGTTTTTTTTTTTTGTTTTAGCTGGAGCTGACAATGTAAATGAGTGGAATGATAACAAAGATTGGGTCGATGAGGTAACAGTTATTCCGGATTTTAACTTCGACGTAAATGCTGCAGGCATCAAACTAAACCTTACAAACGAAAG